GCGGGACTCACGAAGAAACTGATTACGATCCATAGCGGTGCGGCTTCTATGTACCTCCTTCTATGGATAAGGATGGTCATGTGGGCTCTGCAGCTCGCTGCTTGCAGACTACCTTTCGTTGTTTACTGGAGAACAATGTTCAACGCCACACGCTGACAGCACTGCTGCTGCTACCAGGGCGTCACAATATCAGCTTCAATCGACCAAATCGATGCGACGAAGAGACTGCTGGCTTTCTTTTTCTGTTAAGCGAACCCCACACGTATCAATATATTGAAGCGAAGGGGAATTATTGACAATAATATTGATGATGTGAATACAGAAATATTGTCAATACCGATGTATTGACGTCAATATTGAATGTATTGACAATACGATTATTGTCAATAAAAGCAATCGTGTAGGGTCCACTTTAAAGTCGAACAGCTTCGCAGCATTCTAGAACCTCAGTCGGCGTGCACAAACAAATGTTCAATCGCTTGTCTCTCTTTCTCCCGTCGCTCCATTGGTCTTCCTTTCAAGCTTCGGTGAAACGGACGAGCGAAAGAGCGCTCGACTTTGATAGTTTTCTCTTTCATGAAACACATCAACAGAGGTTTCATGACGTATATGACGGAAAATGAAATAACACATTTAAAGCATTTCTCACGTCAAAACACTTGAAGATTACACGTAATATTTTAAATTTATCTTCCATCCATATATTTATCTAAAAAAAATGATCGAACACGGGACATAACGCATTTTAAACAAATTGAAAGAGCGGTGATAGAGTGTTCGTGAAAGGGGATTGAAAGCCATAATGAGGTTTCGTTTAACTAGACAATCGACGTTACTTATATTGAAAGCGATGAGCAAAGCAACGACGAGAAGATCTACAGCCAGCGTTTCCTTTTAAGCGTGCTTCTTTTTCATTATCATTTCTTGCTGATAGTCTAGCTAGGCGTTATAGAAATGAAGCGTTGAACACGTTTGTATGAGAGAAACAAAACTCGAGCTCATTTTAGAGCTTCGAAAATGTAGAGCCCTGGCTGCTACTGACACCGACGACCGGACATCACCACACACGGTGATTGAATAAGCGTGCGTTCAGTGAGACAGGATCGAATTCGATTTTTAAATCTGTGTTAAGGAATGCGCTGTTTGCAGGCAACCGGTGATAATTTTGATCACCATTGCAACAGCTGGACATTTGTGTATTTTTAAATAAAGACCTATTAAAAACTGATAAAGTGTTCATTTTAGCAGATTTTCAGATAGATTTCCAATCGTTTGGCTTGTTTAGAATTAAAATCCATCTGCTATTGACAGAGTTATATGTGGTCAAAACCTGACCTCTTTTCGTAATGCGGTCGATTTTGGTTTTTTTTTAAATTGCACCCCCAATATGTTGCCGAAAGAACGTCAAAAAATATCACATATAGGCAGGTTTGCAATTGCTCATTACAGCTATAATGCTATTTTTCGTAATTATGAAACAATGAGTAATGTTTGTGTATGACACATCAAATTTGTCAATTTTGCTTTCAGAAGGTCACAACTAGCGACTAGCTGTAACGATGAGCAACGCGATGAGCGAGCAATCAGCGATCATAAAATCGCTGGCTGTGACCTTCTGAAAGCAAAATTGACAAATTTTATATGTCATACACAAACTTTACCACCTCTTCTTGCATCTTACAAATGTAGATCATTTATAGTAAAAAAATTTTTTTTTTCACTAGATATTAACAAGACTTTTGTGTCAGCTTCTCTATATCATACCTGGTTGACTAATATCCGGTTTGTTTAGTCATTCCCTGCTTACGTAGCTGATAACAAAATCGATTCTATTACTGGCGCCAGTCTCGAGGCCTAGGCTGCCGTTCTACGCATATCTGTCCCATGTTACTTTTGGACGTTTTTCACTTTTAAGAAGCAGTGTAATGATCTTACAATAAACCAAAGACAAAATAACATGATTTAAAATTTAATTGTTTGTAGCAACGATGTATAAACATCTTCCAATATTGACATGATTGAAAAAGTACGTATTATTGTCTAAAACAACTCGAAGCAACGCAGTTAACAATGATGGCACTTTCTGTCGCTTTGATGTGTTCATTCATCTAGTTGATAGCTGCTACAATATTTTAGAGTTAAAATAAGTTTCCTGTTGACTGATTCAGAATATCCGTTGTCGTATAGTCCTTTCGTAAATTTAGTCGTTAGAATGTTCTCAATATACTGCCGTGGATGCATTTGGTTGAATATAATGAAATCCTTAACTTTTTCAAAGTCTTTCTTGAAATCATCGGTTGACAATCTTATTGTGTTCTGCACAGAGCATTCATCATTTGTTTCTCAAGATGCCCATACTTATAGGCTTTATAGATGTAGCAAACGACGATTGCAGCAATGTCAACTCACTTATTGTTGGTTTCAGTTAATGATGCAAACCTATGCAAATTATCCAGTTTCAAAACTTCACGGAGAACTCAAGCACGCTCATGCAAACACAACTACAACCACAAGAGTAAAGATATCAAACGCAACGTGGCCATCAAAGCAACACGGAAAGTAATAGTTCTTAGTGGGACTGATATACGTAGAATTTCCTACTTCATGGCAAATTTCTCGGCATAACAGTCCCACTGAATTGTTTTCGTATAAATATAGGCTTAAATAATTTCATACAAGGTAATTTCTGTAGTTTTCACTAAAACAAATTGATTCTGTTGAAATGTGAACAATACACTAACTTATTTTAACTTATATTTCTTCCAATGATTTTCTCAGATGTTAAACATGGGACAGATATGCGTAGAACGGCAGTAGGGGTGACTAATAAACTCCTATGAAAATTTTAGACCACTTCAGAAAATGTAACCCTTTTAACATTTTTTAATTCCTAATGACGGGACTAAAACATATTTCAACCTCCAAAGCAGTTGATTCCAGTAACGCCGCTGGAAGAGAGCTGCTTCTGTGCAATCGTTGCAGAAGTGATAATGCAAACAAACACATTGTGCAAATTACAAACACTTCATCTCTCACGTGGCTATAACGAGTTGAGTTAGAGTGGTGGGATTTTGCGCAACGTCATTTCCGCTGCTATATATGCAATTGCAAACCAAGCGACTAGGCAAACTATCGATTAAAATTGTTAATTGATCACCGGCTTTTGCTGGCGAAGGTAAAGGTACACAAAACAAACTCAGTGAAAGTTGTCATCTCCCAGGGGTGTAATTTTCACGTGGAGATCACTATATAACTTCTTCGGAATTGATTTCAGTCCCATCAAAACTAAGTGTTTGATTAGAATTACAATTATCTTCATTCATGAACGTGTGTTGATCGGTGTTTACCTACTAGAGTGGTTGGAATGGAATGTGTCATGGTTGCGCAATTAGGTGAACTGAGTACTTTTCCTAGAATAGCAAACGTATGTGCACGTCATGCACTACAGTGACGCGTGAGAGGGCGGAAGTCGTTTGTTTTGCATAGCTATTGGGAGTTGCTTTTGCATTTTTGTTTTTTTTTTACGATCTGCTTGTTGTTAGTGTTTGTTGTTCTTCCTAGCTTTGACACTCTTACACGAGCTTACTCTCAACCAGTTCTCAACTTATGTTCTTTGAAGCATCTCCACAGTTATTAATTGCGAGCCAATCAATGCATGAATTTGGATATTATATGGCAAGCCCAATGCTACTACTATGCCCAAGGAAGTTGCGAACATTTATAATCCAAAAATGTTCTAGACCGCGTCATTCTTTTCCCTTTGCTATTTACAGGAAATGATGCGTTGAAAAAAACTACTTTTGAATCACCTTAACTGCCGTCCCTTAAGAGTCCCATGGTGCATAAGGATTGCATAGAACATGGGTCAGTTATGCGTATAACGGCAGTTAACTGATTAGACAATCTGAAGTCACATGTATGTATAAGCTTGCCTTAGTATTCTTATCAACGTGTCAAGATAACAAATTTATTTATCTTGAAATTTTTGCAAAGTATTAAAACCATTGGAGCCTTCTGCAGCCGTTCAGTACGATTCAAGAGTATCAATTTTAACTTCGCATGGTTGGCAACCTATCGGTTGCTGGTTGAAGTTTAATCGATTGGTGGATTATCTGCTGAGAGTCCGCTAATAGTAACCAGTACCTTTGAAAAGCAGTGTCCTAAAAAAAAAAAAAAAACATTCAAATAGTGTAAATACAGTTTATTTCGTACTTTGTAACTTTCTAATAATGGCACGTATTGTTAAGGTGAATATGAATTTGTGGTCAGTCATTGGGAACATTCATACATACCTATCTTGATGAATCGAATGTGACTATTTGAAATATATTTTGTGCACCTGCTGGTAGCAATAGTTTTGCAGATAAGATCGTATTGAAAAGAATATCTGATTACCCCGAAGAGTGTTGCTATTGATGAGAAAATGTTTGGAACTAACAGCAAAGGCTTCGACAAAATACGCCGCTTGAAGTCGTGAAGTGAAGTGGTTATTTTGAACTTGCCATATTCTTACTGGACTTTCTAGATAAATTTTCAACGCGCTTACCAAATGTTACTGTTTTGTGAAATTTACTTAAATATCATGCTACACTGAATCCCACCTGAGCGACTTTCGCGAAAAGTAAACAAAACCAGCTCGAAATGCAACTTTCTACTAATCAGTACACGTGCACACAGAGCTAACCAAAGTGAAACGATCCGGTTGTACAAGTCGTCAACCTGCACCACAATCATGCATCTTCCACCAGTTGGACCCGTCCCAACGAGCATCTCATAAAGGGAAAATGCAAACATTTTCCTCGACCATATTCGAGCTAATACCATTTTGGGAAGGCCCTGTCCCTCCTCCCGAAAACCCACTAGGAAAAAAAAAGCATTACTAAGTTAGTCTTTATTCTTTTCTCTTTCTCTTTCCATCCCTTTGCTCGTCACACACAGATCAATGTTTTCCCATCTGGACCAGTGGTAGTCGAACATAAGCATCTTACAGTGCATCATAGCCATCATCACCATTAAAGAAGAGAGCGCTAAACGAGAGAGCGGTGCAATTGCAACTTGTCATCACTGAGCTGCTGCACCAGTCACCAGCAGCACACATTCAAACGCTGCAACAAGATCACAACAAAAACATTTCCGAGCAACTGCTTGGAAAACCCCCGGAGAACCTGATCGTCTCAGTCTTTGAGCAACAGCTACGGACTCAAGATCGTTGTCTTCGTCGTCGTCGTCGTAGTAGTCGTTACTTGACTGCACTTTTTCCATCTTCTGATTCTACTTCGATCTGTCATCGCTATCGGAATTGTACGCGAGAGAAGAGCAACATCCGTAAAAATATGACGGCGCAAGTATTGTCAATACCGCGGGATTTTACAGATAACAAAGGAAAAGAAGAAACTCCCTTTGGACTAACCGGAGCGTCAGTGTCAGTGTCGTACCATACGGAAGTCGCCCGGCTGGAATCATTTCGAAACTGGACGGTTCCCTTCATCAGCAAGGCTGAGCTAGCCCGTTACGGCTTTTACTATGTTGGGCCAAACGATATGGTTAAATGTTACTTCTGTCGAGTGGAAATCGGACTATGGGAGCCAAACGATAACGTTCTTTCGGAACACCTAAGATGGTCACCATATTGTGCACTACTGCGTAAGCGGCAAACAAACAATGTTCCAATCGATGCCAGCTTTCTGGATCAGCTGCCGGAACCGAGCTACGATACCTGTGGTATTAGGATACGGGAAAATTCCGTGGCTGAAAATGCATACTCTTCGAGCAGTAGTGGATCCCTATCGTCTCCACCTAGCTCCCTTACGTCCGACTCCAGTATGTTATCCAATGGCCCTATCGCCCAACAGCTTGCATCACCCGCGCTGCCACAGCAAAAACGGCCGGAATATCCCAACTATGCCATCGAGGCAAAGCGATTGGAAAGCTACGAAGATTGGCCAAAATTCATGAAACAGAAGCCCAAGGAACTGAGTGATGCCGGATTTTTCTACACTGGCAAAAGCGATCGAGTCAAGTGCTTCAGCTGCGGTGGCGGTCTTAAAGACTGGGAAGCTGAAGACGAACCATGGGAACAACATGGCATGTGGTATAGTAACTGTGAGTACCTGAAACTAATGAAAGGCGAAGAGTACATTGTCCAATGTCTGGCCAAGAAGGATAACCCTTCTCCTTCTGAACAAGGCTCTGATGTTGGTCCGTCGAATTCGCCTCAACCATCAACGTCCGGAGTAACATCCGTCGCAACAACCTCGCTCCCATCGTCCCAATCATCCAGTCTGAGTGCTTCGGCCGAAGAAGTCAATTCCTTAGTCGGTGGCAGTAGTAGTAGTATGGAGGAGGATGAAGATGAACCAAATCGTAAATTAGACACGAGTCGGACGTGCAAGATTTGCTATGTCAACGAATACAATACCGCTTTCTCGCCCTGTGGACATGTAGTGGCGTGTGCGAAATGCGCTTCTTCGGTCACCAAGTGTCCGCTCTGTCGGAAACCGTTCACCAATGTGATGAGGATTTATTTGATGTGAAAGGTGTATCAGAAATAGGAATGAAATACACGCTATTTCAGATTACTGAGTGGCCTGAAGAAAAAGGATTCAAATGGAGCTCGCACAAAGGCTCATAGCCACAGGCGAGAGTTTTGCTTCCGGTCAATGGGGACATATTGAATGAGCTACAACATCCAAGCGGTTCATACTGCGGATACACTTGTATGATAAACTATTAGCATGAGCCTTATATGTATAATAAAACTCACGTTCATCCATCGTCACACTTGTATAGTTTTTGTATAGTTGTTATACCCGTAATGCTCATGCACACAGTTTATCATGCAGGTGTATCCGCGGGATTATGGCATTTTGAGTGAAATTAAAAAAAACTTAGTATTTGGTATTCAATATAAACTAGGAATATCAATAAATAAATGAAAATAACATCTCAAAACAACAGTGATCGAAATAATGTCCACAGTGCTTTGTTTAGCGAAAGAAACCTCCAGTTCTATTATCTAGGGAATTTTAGGCTTTGTGCTATCTGCCTCTTTTTTGTGTTCGTCGAGTGTTGGTACGGAATCAAGGTAGATTTCAACAAAGGAAATGGTAGATTAAAGGTAGGAATTTTATTTAATCTACTTCATATCGTGATTAAATTTGCTGTTGCAGTCTACGTTGGTTGACGAAATAAATAAATCCTAAAACAAGTCATGTGCAGGTAGGTACCCATTACATTATTGTCAATCCAAATAACTCACCCATAAAACCAGAAAATGCATACATATAGAAGTGTGATTCTGTGATATACGATCGCATATCGGATCAGGTGGGGCAAGAGGTGCCAACCCAAATAATTTTGAAAATAAACACATTTTTAATGCTTGCTCATCCATGAAACTATGAATGGTTTAACTATGCAACTTTATTAAAAGTTCTGTCCAGAAAGAAGTTTTACAAAAATTGAAAAAAAAAAAACGGTGCCGATGGTGTAGTGGTAAGCGTGATTACCTCTCACCCTAGCAGGCCTGGGTTCAATCCCAGTCGGTGCCGCCGGAATTTTTTTTTTTTTTTTTCCTTTATTAACGAGACTTTCAGCCTTAGGCTGGTTCATCTCTATAACCGCCGGAATGTTCTGAGGCATAACATCTCTGATAACGAAAGGGAAGTAAAGCCGTTGGTCCCCGGTTCATGAGTTGATGGGTCGATAGGTGGGGTCCAGGTGTGGGAGCTGCCTCCCTGGCGTCGGTAGCATTGGTGCTCAGCACGGAAAACAAGATCGACGGAAAACAAACCAAAGAAAAAAAAAATTAATAGAAAAAAAAAATAAAAATTTGTGCTGATGTATCGAAGATTGAAATTATTTATAATAATTGAAAACGCACCTACAGTGTATCTCAAAATTGAGCGTAAAGATGTCCCTAAATTTTAGAAAAAAAAAACATCTTTTAAACCACAATAGATACGTTTCTGAATTTCTGGCTGCTGAATCATCATAAATTTATCGTAGTCCTTATTTCGTCGCGTAGATCTGTGCCGATTGTTCCGATCCGTATTTCTTTCTTCAGTATTTGCAACTTTATGTTTTTTTCCAGGGCGGCTTGTTGGGCCTGCCTCAACCCCCTGTCTCGCTGGGGGACCATTGTGCACAGCTCTGTTTTGAGTCCCACGCTGGCACTAGGACGGTGATCAGCCGCTCCTAACATGGAGAACAGACGCCGTTTTGAGCCGCACCTCCATGGTGAACAGACGCTCGGGTTTGGTGAAGCATTTCCTCTATCACCGCGCCAGTGTTCGCGTCGCACCTCTTCACTTTGCTATTGCCGGACTGGCAACATTGCCCAGGCTACGCCACCCAGCTGTGTCCATGTTTCAGCTGGTAGTCTTTTGTTATCATATGACTCGAGGAGGCGTGAAGTAGGAACTTGTGAGGACCAGGGCTAGGTATTCCGCTCCTTCCAGGTTGTCAACTCACCATTTTGTAGCCCATACGTCAGCCAACAAACCGATACTTATCTTAACCGACTCACACAGCGTCGTTCACTACCAGGTAACGAGTCTGCTGATCACCTTGCCGGAGCCGGCTCATCGGGTCCCACACTAACCGACAAGGTACCCCTACAGGACGTCAAGCGGTGGATCATGTGGACCATTCGAGCGGCATAGGAGGCCTAGTGGTTCCGCTACAGAACTGCCTTCATCCGCATAGTCAAAGGGTCAACTGAAGCATGGAGCGAACAGCTTCGTACCGGGCACACCAAACTCTACTATAACTATGGTGGCCTGCCGTTCCGCAGAAGCTGCATCATCTGCGGGGTACCCTACACCGTCGAACACATCCTGTGAAACTGTCCGGAGCTCCAAAATCTTCGGGAGTCGGTCTGCCTAACTTCCAGCATCAGGGATCTGCTCGGGAATGATACTCCGGCCTCGGCAGCACTAGTAACCTTCTTAAAAGGCTTAAAATCTACCACTTTGTATAGCAAGAATTACTATCGGCCGTCGGGACATCTTAGCTGGATGGATTTCCTCTATTGGTCCCATGCCAGCTGAGCTCTGTTTTGTTTGGATTATTCGTTTGTAGCTTGTTTTAAATCATTTTGATTATGTTGTTCGTTCCTCTCTTTTATTTATTTGTCTGCATCAACAGGCTGTGTATAGCCCCAATGATGATTTAAGTAGCTTATATAGGTAAATCAAAAAATAAAAACTAAGAATAAAATACATAAATAAAACACACAATCATTCACGGTTAACTGTGCCAGAAAAGAACGATGAGAAGTATCTTCGTAGCAGCTGTCGAGGCATATGGAAATCGAAGATGCCCGAGACTCGATTGAACACTCGTTGAAGCCCACCTATTGCACCGTTCATGCCATAGTTTGTGCGCTGAAGTGGCAATCTCAGCATAACGTTGTTACGTAGCGCACGGGGTTGGACGTTAATTTAGACTTGCCCCAAAATTGCACTGCAATCAATTCTACCTTGTAAAGTTTCCGCAATGAACAGGGCCCTAGAGGTGTCTCTTCTAGTTCGGAGAGGCTCCAGATCAATCAGCTGGCAACGACTTTCATAGCTGGGCAGATGAAATGGGTCTCTCCAAGGCAGCTTCCGCAGAGCGAATCGAAGAAAACGGTGTTGAACGGACTCAACTCTCTCAGCACCATTGTTGTAGTTTGGACTCCAGACCACAGAACAATATTCCAGAATGGATCGCACCAAGGAACAGTACAGTGACTTCAAACAGTAGATATCGGAGAAATTCTTTGCTATCCTGAAGATAAATCCCAATGTCCTAGACGCCTTGTCGACAACGTACGAGATGTGCTGATTGTACGTAAGTTGAGAATCCAGAATAACACCCAGATCTTTCACATGGTTCACACGGTCGATTACAGTGCCGATAAGTTTGTATTCAAATGTGATTGGTTCTTTCTTCCGAGTAAAAGTGATCACTGAACACTTAGTGGGGTTAACCACCATTCGGATCAAATTACACCAGCTGGCAAAGGCTTCGAACTGACGTTGAAGGAAGTGACAGTCATCAATCGAGCGGATTCGTAGGTAGATTTTAAGATCGTCTGCATACGATAGTCGTGGGCCTTCGATGACCAAGTTCACGTCATTGAAGTAGAGTAAGAAAATCAAAGGTCCCAGGTGACTTCCTTGAGGTATTCCTGACGTAGCTAGATAGATATTGGACCGGTTGTCACCAATGGCAACCATCAGTTGCCGATCAGTGAGATATGAACGAAACCATCGCAAGAGGTTGCCGCTGACGCCAAGTCTATGCAACTTGGCAATCGCGATGGCATGGTTTAGCTTATCGAAGGCAGCTGACAAGTCGGTGTATATGACGTCTGTTTGAGTCCTCTCTGCCATGCTTTCCGTAAGATACGATGTCAAACACAGCAGATTTGTGGAAGTAGATCGACCGGAAGTGAAGCCGTGTTGAACACCACTTAGATACTGCTTACAATGAGAGAGTAGAGGCTCCATGATGACTAACTCGAATAACTTCGAAACTGCACTCAACGACGTAATTCCACGATAATTGTCCACATCCCGTTTGCTGCCCTTTTTGTGGATAGGAAACATATGTGCGAATTTCCAACAAGATGGAAATGTACCACTCGAGATGGACAATCGAAATAGGTGAAGCATGGGCATCAGCAAGCTGGCAATATGCTTTTTCAGGAATACGGATGGAACGCCATCGGGTCCTGGATTGAAGGACGACTTGAGTTGTGATGCGGCAGTGGAAATCATCTCGACGTTGACATCCATCGCACCCAGTGTTTGACCGTACAGTGGAACATTACTAGCTGCTAGGGTAACGTGTTCGTCAGTTAATCTCTCATTCGTGAAAACACTGGCGAACTTCTCAGAAAACAAGCGACAGATCTGCTGAGGAGTGGAAGCAACTGCTCCATTCAACACCATTGAAGAATCCTTGCGCTGCTCATTTACTTATATCCAGAATGACTTCGGGTGCGACTTGAGTTTCCTCTGAACCCCTCGTTGATATCGCGAATAGCATTGACGGCTAACTCGCTTGAACTCATAATTGAGCCTAACGTAGTGACGTTTCAGCGAAAGCGTACGATACTTAGTGAATTTTCTTAATGCGGCTCTCTTGGTCGACTTCAACCTACGCAGTTCACTCGTCTGCCAGGGAGGATGAGAAATTACGGTGAACTCTTTTCGGAACGTGCCTGTCAATGACATAAGCCAAGACATGTGAAAATGTTTGCGCAGCGGTTTCAACATTATCAGGATCGAGGATGCTCTCCCAATCTATACTAGATAGCACGTTGACGATACTACGGTGATCGGCATTCCGGAAATCGTATGACACGGTCGTGGAAATGTCGTCAGAGACCCGATCGTGATTGTCAGCAACAGTGACATCCAAGGGAGGGTGATGATGTACTTGCTTTACTAGTGGAGAAGGTGCCATGGAGATGAAAGGAGCGATGTCCTGAACGCTAACGAAGCAGAGGTCCAGGCTACGGTTGTTTTCGTTGACTACGTGGTTTATTTGAGATAGTGT